GGACTTTTCCAACAACTCTGAGTTAGATCGCCTTTCAGCAAAATTCTTCCTTACAAGTCAAGGTTAATATTATTTAGTTTGTAATTTAGACTTTCTTTCCGACAATACGTAGAAATTCAGTTGCGAGAAATCTTGCAGCTTGGGGTCCAGCTACAGTCGTTCATAGCTAACAAAGGCGAAGTTTGTTTGTAGACGAGTAATCTCTCTGTTGAAAGCTCTCTTCACGTCGCAAACAGGCTTTTCCCAAGGAATGCTGTAGCCAACAATTTATCAAAACTGTACCGTGAATACATTGAGTGAACCACTGAGCAGTTCAATTTGTTAAAAAATGAATTGAGAAATGAAATGAACACCGAACGCTATCGAATGCTTTTAAGAACGAGCACCCCACAGAAATATTTATAAAATTTCAAGCAAGAAAATGGAGTTGCTACACTAAACCAAAGGTTGTATGACATGGAAAATGGAACTGGTCTTCCCTTAGCCTTAAGAAACATAAATCGGTTCCACAATTGTCGCTTGTTGACAGCAGGTTCTGAGGGATTAGTCTAGGCTTACCAGAGATACCACAGGCTAAGGAAAAACTACTGAAAGCCACATCCATTTTAACCATTTTCGGGTTAAATGCTACAATTTCTTCGACGATATTCATCTTGTTCACATTGTATCACACTTGGTTTGGATTGGCTGTTTCCGTTGAGAGAAATTTGCACCCAGAGAGTTGTGGCGGCTTTTATTGACTCGTAGTAGCCGTATCAGCATGTAAAGCTCGCTTTTCTTCTGTCTGCGATATTATTACATTGGAGTTGGGCGTAGTAACTACTCGATTTTGTTCACTTTGTTAAATTTATGTTGCAAGTGGTCTGAACTGACGATAAAAGCTTGCTCGTAGTAATTGTAGAACTGACTTCTTTCTGTTAAAAAATACCATTGAAGCACAAACTCAAAATTTTCATTACATTTAAAGAGCAACATCCAGCTTTTCCTTTTTTAGCGACACCTACACCCGCAGCTTTCCGGAAGTAATTAGAGTATGAAAAAAATACGTACGGGACGCCAACGGAGCATCAACTACTAATTACACGATTCCAGCTGAATTCTCTCAATTGCGAGCTGCACAAATATTTCCGCAGCAAAGATTGCAGCACTCGCTTTAGTGCAATGCGTGAACATTTTAGCAATTCCACTTTGATACACTCCGGCCAAAGAAGCAGCGTTATTACAACACCACACCACATACACACACACACACACACCCATCCATGGCTGTACTTACACATAGCCGCTTTGTACATCGGTACAACGCAATGCATCGGCAGTTTATTGCCGACTGTAAAATTGACCCAGTTTTTGGCGATATTCGCAACGCCATGAAAATCAAATGCCAGCAACAGCTCCGGCAACACACCGCGCCTGGTGTGTTGTATGCTAGCGTTGGTGGCGGTGGCGGTAAATGGAACTGTAAACGCAAAGCATTCTGTAGTTCTTTGGCTGTCACCCTATCTGTTCCAGCGCTGCTGCTCTGCAACGCACTCTCATCACTCGCATTTCGGCCATTTTGCATACCTTTGCGAAAAGCGTTTGCCCGCTGCAAGCAGCAGGCTGTGTGGCTTACAAATAACGCCGACAACCGCCACACAATGGAAACACACACAACAAATCCTCCGACAATAACAGTCAATGCCTGTTGTTGTGTGCAGAGAGTGCAAAAGCAAAAGTGAAATATCGCCGGAGTGCAGCAAAATGAAATGCGAAAATGGCGTTGCGCTCGAATGGTTCAATGACAAATCAGCAATGCAAGTTGCCGCGGTTTGCTGTTGTGCCATGTTGCAAACGAAATGTGCAATCGTCATCATCATCATCATCTGCAACACACACACACACACTCATCCACTTGAGCGCATTCGAGCATTTGCACTCATACAGAAGCACATACTTACGTGCCAATAACTTCAGCAGCCGGCGCAGCTGAACTGTCCTAAATATGAGCGTACAACATTTAGATGAAAGTGTTTTTCTCAACAAGACATGCATGCATGTGTGCGCATATAATCTTAGCTATGGATATCTGCAGGATATGTCGTTTGTGATCTGCGCAAGTATGTTGCCAATACTCGTATATGCTAAATATTCTTCTCAAAGCGATTCCACAAGTGTAGTAAGGGTGCGAATACATGTCCTCTTTTTTACTTTTAACCTGCTTTGATGGACCGATATAGATGCTGCTATGCTGGTTATACACTTTTATGCATATATAAACGCTTGTGTACGATTCTCAGAAATATAATACTCTGGAACACGGAAGGACCTCAAATTATAAGTATTTTTGACATCATCTGCTATAATTAACCTATTATGTTGCACAGTCCATAATTTCCGTTCCCTCAAAGCTAAATGCAAATAGGTTTACATGTATGAAAAATATTAGAATTACAAACGCATATTCTGAGACAAAATTGGTGATTTCCACTCAAGTAAGATTGTCGTATCATGATTAGCACGTTCAATAAATTAGAGCATTCGTTCATTTCATACACTTTCAGTTATTATTTACATGAGTAAGATTTTTAGACACTTGCAACATGTTGCGAAAAAGTATTAAAGTTTTGTTCACCTGTCGGTTAATTGTATTACCTTAGATATAACCCAGTTGTAACCAATATTTAAATTTTGTTTCACTCATATTTCATTTAATGTCGTGTTTCATTCTCTCCCCTGTAAATTTCCAAAAATATTCATACGTCACAAGAGTTGGGGTAGTCGAACCGATTTGAGCCATTAACTATTATCATGTCACATACTAAATAATTTTTCTTGGGTTTCATTAAGGTACCTCACATACAATTACCAATCATACGGAGCACAGCCAGCCGGATGCTTGGAAACCCTAGTAATGGCTATAAGGGTGCTATGCCTACTGTTATGAGTAAAATATATTCAGTAATTTTCATTGACATAACTCAAATATTGACCGATATATCCTCGAAGTTTGAAAATCTTTACATTAGGTATAATGGGACTAAGGGAAAGGATAGGGGGGGGGTTTGTCCGGAAAGTAATAAGACTCATTTTCTTCCGCCGCGACTGTACTTCGGAGCATGCGCGCACCGACTGGATTCGGTAGAGTGTGTTTCTAGCTAACGAACGAGCGGCTGGTCAGTTGTTTCTGAGCACCTGGAGAGTCAGGCCGAAAATGCAGCGTTCGTTAGAGCAGAGGTGGAAGTATGCCAAGAAAATTTCAACATGTGGGAAAGTGAACCACTTTTTTTTAATAACTTAATCACAGATAATGAGTCATGAATCTTTGAATATGATCCCGAGGCTAAGAAGCAATCTTCGGAGTGGCACACGCTAGCGTCTCCTCGGCCGAAAAAGGGAGGAATGAGCAAATCCAAAGTGAAAACGATTAAAGGCATCGTCCACCATAAATTTGCAACTCCTGGACAAACCATCAACGCCAAGTTTTACGTGGAAGCTCTGAAGAGACTTAGAGTTGTACACCTCCTTTCTTGTGAATAGGATCACACCGCCTTTCTTGTGAATAGCTATCTAACCAAGGCCGACATCTCAATGCTTCCGTAGCGACCTTACATCCCAGATGTTCTACTTCGGAATTTTTTTGCTTCCCGGCTGATAAGGCCGATGAAAAGCAGGCATTTTGAATCGACAGAGAGGATCCAAGCAGCATGCACCGCTCTCAAGGCTATTCCGGAGAATGTCTTCCGTGACGCCGTCAATGCTTTGAAATCGGGCTGGCTGCGCTGTATTGACGCAGAAGGAGCCTATTTTGAAAGTATTTATTGTTCAATCAATAAATTTTTTTTTTAAATCGACTCAGTCTTATTACTTTCTGGAAAAACTCAGTATGCAAACCATGTTGGCCACTAACCCGACCTTGTGCTCGTATTATAAATTACATAAAATACACACGGAATTTGAAATTCCTGATATTACTTACTTGGATCTTTGGCAAGTTTGCATCTGATTTCATTCATTCTAACAACAAATATGCACCGTTGTACGAACAACACACTTTTTCAATTTTATTAAGATAACTCACATGGTGGCCGATGTATGGTATATAAAGTCAGCCGAAAGTTCGATAATCTTTCTATAAGATATATAGCATAAACGATAAGGGAGATATTGACATATGGGTATAATATTTTTAAGAACGGATTCGTAACTAATTTTAGTCATATACCTCTCACATTTGCCGATATTTTCGGTAAAAAATCAGACAAGGATTTTAGATTCCACACTTCCGGTATGTGGGTGTTTAAATAGTTATGGTTAGATGGCATACTTTGAAGGCACTAAGTTAATTAGGGCTTGAATTATGTACTGTAAAGTGAAATAATCAGACGGAATATAAAGTTGCGTTACATGGGAACTTGACAAGATTCGCCTATTTACGAAATGTAACATGGAAATGTCAAAAGAATAAATATTTGACTTCAATGTGAACGGTGCTACACACATTGCTCCTTTTGACACCAGCTCCAATAAAATCTTATTCACCGTTTGGGGAATAAAAGTATTAAACTCTGTAAGAACATGTTGCGAGGATATAATAAATGTAATAAATTGGCTTTTTGATCTGATCAAAAATCGAGTTTTAATAGAAAAACACTCTTATAATTTGTGTAAAATTAAACGTCTTTTTCAATTGCGATAAAACTAAATTAGTCTACAATTTTCTTTGTTATCGAGGTTAGAATGGTTTATGATGATATTGGTTTCAAATGTAACTCTGGTTTAACAAAATAAGTATTCGTATTCATTAAATAATGGAATGGTATTATCTGCCAGGTACTGAAAGAACAACACACATTTTTCACTGTCCTAATTCCAATAAATTGATGTGGCAATGCAGAATGTTAATTATTCTACGCGGTTTGTATGTTCCCACTATAAATTGTCTATATTTTAGTGCAAGGTCAGACCAATATTTTTTTAGTAGTCCCTTTTTAATGAATTTATTATATAGTTTCACTTACCATTCTCCAGTTCGCAACCGCCTGTACAAATCACCACAACGGTGCGCGCCGCTTAGAGCAACCGCCCGATATTCTACCTCAGCACACCAGCCTGCGTAGACAATCAAAGCAGTTGCCGTTGCGGCGCCGCATTGCCACCGTACCCAGTGGTCGTGAGGAATTGCAGTGATGAGGATGCTGTCACAATGGTCTGACGTGCGCCATCCCCCATACCAACACCGCCGGCGCCACCATAACTACTGCCGCCTATTGTCTCCCGATAGCCAAGGTCCTTCGTCGCGCTCGTTTGTTCGTTATTCGCCTCGCTGTTGATGCTGGTGCGTCGCTGTAACAGCTGTAGGCCGCTCGCAGTGCGATGCGCCGAATTGTAAGGTGGCGGCGGTGGCTGCCGATACTCGTAGCCATAACCGGTGCTGCTGCTCGACGCTGCCGCTGTCACAGCATGTGTATCGGTGGGTGTGCGCGGCGGTAGCGCAACTGATTTACTGTGTCGTTGTAGCGTCGAGAAGCCACTTTCCGCTTGCGGCGCCACGCCACTGGACGCGCTAACAGTCGTCGTTGGCATTGAACCGGTCGTGGTGAGGGCGATGCTGGTCGTCGCCACCGCAATCACGTCACCGCGGCGCAATGTCTTCTCGTGAGGCTTGCTGGCGGCACCATACCTGGACTGCAGATACTCTTGCGCATTGATATTATATTTACTCTTGGCCACAATGGGTGGTTGTTGTTGGTGTTGAAGTTGCTGCTGTGACATTTGCTGGTCATCGTGCAGATTTATTGTCCTCGTTGCTTTTATCGGACTATAAAGCTGTCCTTGCTGCTGATTGCTGACCGCACTGTTGGCATGACCGTTAATGTTACTGTTACTACAACTATTGTTGACGGCTTTGTGGGTGCTGTATGCGGGCAGCAGGTCGGGTTGGTATTCGCCGGCGCGCCCACCGCCGCCCAGCTGACCTTCAGTGAACTGTACTTCGGTGCGCCACTTGCCACCACCGACACCGGCGTGCGCACCTTTGCCGCCAACCGTCATGTCCAGTGTTGTTGTTGATGTCGCATTGAGAAGACGATTTATATCCGCTGCGGACGGTCCATGCGGGTACTTGTTGTGGAGCGTATCTGCGGCAAAGAAAGAAACAATGACAGTGAAAAGCAGTCAGTCAGCGGCATGCTCACATTCAGTTGAGCTGCGTGGGTTGCACGAATGAAATTATGTGGCATGAATTGCCGTGCTAGGGCAAACAAACAAAGCGCATAAATAAAGACTGCCACAAGAATGGTTTGCTGCATGCAGCATTTCACTTTGTTCCATAAATAGCTTTAGTTGTGCAGCTTATACATTAATCTTCCGCAAATATATTCTCTACACTCTTTTTACTACTTGATCACCACAGTACTCACGCAAACACACACTTAAATAAATACCAGTGAGTCATGTTCCTACTGTGTATATATATAGTTTCGTTATCCTTTGTCCTTTGCGCTTTATTTTATTTGCTTGCATTTGCATGGCAGGCGTAAATTTATTGTGGCGTCTTGTTAAATATCATCTCGTTAGTATTGAACACTTTTGTAAATATTTACTACACCATATTAAATCTCTCGCAAACATACCACACACACACACACACATAGGCAGACATGCAAATAGTTGTGTAATCATAATCGTAATCGCATAACAGAGTATAGCGCCAACATTTTAATCAGCTTTTGAATCGTCGGCATCGCATTAACGCTTACCTGCATAATCGATATATTATACATCATCTAAGTACTATAGGGCAGTCCTAAAACTCTACTCCCAGTTGGTGTAACTTGTTTATTATTACCACAATAATTTTTTTGTTTTTGTCATGTCAAATATGTCAAACTTTGTACCTCAAAAAGTGTTACTGCGGGAAGTTCTTCTTCATTACGGCAATATAAAGAAAAGCTCAGCCGAAAGTGTCATCATTTATGGTGATCATGCTCTAGCTTCCAAATGTGGTCTCCTGCATTTAAAAGCAGCCGCTCAAAAAAGTTTGAAAATGAAGAACTGGAAGCATTATTCGACAAGGATTGCTACCCAACATAAGAAAAGCCCCTAGAAGCTTTGAGAGTCCCTCAAACAAACATTTAAAAACACTGGAGAGCAAGGATATTAAGTACGGAAAGGAAATTTGGTGCTAGTTGAAATGAAGCCAAGAGATGTTGTTGACAGCTGATTTTTCATATGAGAAAGGCTAACGCTAATTGTATTATGATTGCTGATAAAATATTAATCCATTATAACAACCCTAAACGCAAAAACTTCTGTGCAAAACCTAGCCAACCAGCAACAGTTTTCAAACCGTAAAAAATAGTAAAACTTTGTTCATAATTTTAAAATTCGTACATTATTCCTCAAAATAGTCGGCATCTGCTCATCTTTGCCACGATAATCAGCGCTGTTTTTCGAAGAAATTGAGTGATTATGGAACCAATTGTGCTTTCCCCCTTCTTATACCCAAATGCTCTATTAAAATGGGTTTCACCGATCCTTCCGATAATCTAACGATGCCAGTAATATCTCTGAGTGTTAATCGTCGATTTTCAAGCACAAATTCCTTTATTTTATTGACGTGTTGATCATCAGTTGATGTTGATGACCGTTCTGGCCGTGCTTCGTCCTTTACCAATCATGATTTGTACCAATAAAAAACACTTTCTCGCGACAAAAACTTATGACCGAAAGAGTTTCCCAAAGTCCTAGCTGTTTTGGCACCAGAAATTTGATTCGCCACACAAAATCTAATGGAACTCCTTTTTTGAATAATTTCACTCATTGTAAAAATCGCTGAATGTACAAACGTATGCTAAACACTAATTATTATTTTAATGAGAGGTTAGTCACAAAAGCCACTGACAGTCATACTAACCTAGAAAAAAGATTGTTTGACGAATGGGTTTCTTCGCGAAATTTAAATTACAAAGTCTTACTATTTTTTGCCCACAGTCTATTCGGAAGGGTTTATCAAATCCAGTATACTGGTGCATCATAACAACTGATAGTTGGAACTAAAAAAAAATCTTTTCTACTTTTCAGAACTACCCTAAATTGCAAATAAATGCACGATTACTAACAAAGCTCTAATTCCAAATGTCAACACCTCACTTATCTCTCTCGTTATGTCATCCAACTTGTAAATAATTGCTTTCTACAACGTACATATGGGTTACTATATAAATACATACGTGAATATGCAGGAGCATACTCGTATACGTATTTATAAATATTTATATATGAATATATACAGACTATGTATCCTGAAGTCAATTAATGAGATCGTTCTAAAAATATGGCTGAAGATAAGCTACTAATAGCGTTTGCAAATCTGATGAATAGAATTATTTGGCTCTTAAATAGTAGTAGTAGTTTTTAGGGACTATCCTTTCAAATAAAGCAAACCAATGTAATATTTTAGTTATAACTGATACCTTACCAAAAATGCCTGGTTGGAAGTCAAGGTGCGACAGCCATATGGAATTTGGGTCCTAGCAGTAGTTTTATATGATACATATATAATTTTAAAAACGACTTAATATATAACTGGTTAATAAACCCAGGAAACTACTCAAATAGTAATATAAATCAAGATTAATATTTAAATGAAAAATAATCAATACAGCTATTAAAAAGAGAGTAGGGGTCCAGAGATACTTCAAAACCTTTCATAACATAGCAGCACTCGCTATTTCTCCATTTATCTACTTTTCTCGCACGATAATTTATAATAACACAATTATAATTAATTTTTTCCTCTAGTTATCCCTTCTTTCGATTACTTAGAATAATCATACGAATTAACTTATTACTTGAATTTATTAAAACCTAATCATAGAGGCGCTATAAACTTTGAAAGGCGCTTTACTCGCAATGTAATGTTAACCGGCATAACAGCCTGTAGAATTAACATCATTTAGGTACACAACGTGCATGTAGCTAACAATAAATGACAGGGAACCTAATCTAAAATCTTTTGCAGCAACAAGTCAAAATACTATTGCATAATTATTCAACAAAACACAAGGAAATGAAATCGAACATTTGTTATTTGACGTTTAATTACGTATACATAATACTAATTATAGATAACACAAGAGCTTATGATAGAAGTCAGCATTATTTAGCATTAGTCGGTAAAAATGTATGGCATACTATGTAAACATATAAGTCCGTAAAGGACTGTTCAAATTACCAATCAGAGAACTTTTTAACTAAATATCAAAATGGGACCTTCTTAAAGGCACACAATTACTTCAAATTAGAAAATTGTATGAAAAATAATCCCATTATTATTCTTTCTTTTCAGCAAACGATTTGATTGACAAGACAATCAAGAAATTTAATCATAAATTGACCTTTTTTATACAAAATACTTGCTACAACAATCAATAAAACATTAATAATATTACACTCAAGTAAAATAACAAAAAACGATTAAAAACCAAGTAGAGAAAAAATTGAGGTGAGGAAGAATAGAACAATAGTCTGGCTGGAAAAATATTTTACCATAGACCAAAAATAGACCTTTTCTTTAAAATTTCGTTCGTCGAAATATTCTTTTTTTTTCAAATTTTCAAATTTCTCTTGCCAAAACATTCAGAATTTTGGAAAAAGCCTTTGGTGATAATTGTTTCTCTTGAGGAAGTGCTTTGCATTGGCACAAGTTACATAAAGGGGGTTGAAAACGCGTTGATGATGAACTCCATATAGGACGGTCATCAATCAACTGATGATCAAAATGTAAATAAAATAAAGGGATTGGTGCTTGAGAATTGACAATTAACAGCCAGCGTGCTTTCGGGCATCGTTGGTATATCGAAAGGATTAGTGAAAACTATTTTGAATGAATCACTCGAAAACAACTTCGCTTTAACGTCTGCGAAACCGACTACTAGGTTGTAATGAAAAGTACTATTAATGGGATGAGCCTTGGATCTATGCGTGCGACGATCAATCGGTCGAATATCATGACAAAGGTGAGCCAAAGTCGAAAAAATCATGCCAAAGCAGGTCAAAAGTTAAGGTTTTGTACGAAATTTACTTCTCTAAAAAGTGGTCTTATATAAAAATTTTTCGATGAAATTAACTGTTTACGAAAGTACATTATCAAGCATCAATGCATAGCAAATATATACATTTATTTATATTGCTGATTAATTTGCTCGGTTATGAGGTTGCGCCAAGATTTGTTTGGAAAAATTAAGATCAAAAAGTCTTTCGAGTGCGAAAAGTGAGACCATAGTAGTGAAAAAGTGTGATTGGATACGACTTGTAAACAATTTATTGATCGTGCAATGTTCGCAAAGTTAAAAAACTTTTAGGAATATGCTTATATCTTTGACGCTATAGCTTATATAATACATTAAACTGTCTCAATGCTGGTGTTATATTTGGCTAAATGAGTCTTATCCCCGACCTTAACACACAGAGCACACTAGCGCACAACATCCGCTTAGATTCACAATACTGATACCCAACCATCACCACAATCATCATATCACCACTTAAAATCTACATATACAATACTCAAATACACCAACCAGAATCACATCACATAGATCACACTATCGAATTCCTGATCCTTGAGAGAGCACTCACACATTCGGTAACGAAAGCGATCATATTACGTCTCGAGTGTCTCGAATATTCCTCTTATTTTTGCTTTTACAAAATTATAAAACCCCGCTGTTTTAAATCAAAATATATTATCCGTAACACGCAAAGCACCAATATATATAATTATTAATACATATGCGTTCTTTTCCTTTCTTAAAAATAAACTAGAAAGAACGTTAACTTATATTTATGCTATAGCAATCCGATCTGAACAATTTCTTCGGAGATTACATTGTTAGCTTAGTCAGAAATCCATGTCAAATTTCGTGAAGATACCACGTCAAATACGAAAGTTTTCCATATAAGAACTTGATTCCAATCGTTCAGCTTGTATGGCAGCTATATGTTATAGTATTTCGATATCGTCAGTTCCAACAAATGAGCAGCTTCTTGAAGAAAAAACGACGTTTGCAAAATTTCAAAACGGTATCTTAAAAACTGAGGGATTAGTTTGTATAAATAAAGATAGACGGACAGA